TGTCCAAGGTTGGGTTGGAGGTAAGTGACCATTCTCCACTGACTTGGTCTCTGAGGGGGCTGGGGCCCCACCCTGTATCTTTTCAGGGAATGCCAACTCACCGATAACCTAACACTAGGGAGGAGAAAGGGACTCTGTCTTCCAGAAAGCGAAAGTCAAGTCCAAGCCCTTAGGGGAAGTCAATGTTTTGAGAGAAGTCAAACTTTTGGAGACACAGTGAAGTAACTGATGTATCACAACACAGCATCTCAGAAACAATGGAACAGATGGTTTCAAAATTCCAGTCTCTGAAAGACTCTTCTAAGGTGTTAGCAATCAAAATTTTCTTGGGACTACGCAGTAGCAAACCTTGGTTCCTGCTTGGGAACCTGTGTAGGACAGTATGTATAAGTATTTATATGTGGGATTTGTTGTAAGCACTCAATATACCCCTTGACCCATGCAAGTGTCAAAGTGTCCAGCCCCAGTGTCTACTCCTTATAAAAAACCATAGAGGCATCAATGCTAACATGTTCCAGTGGCTAGGATATGAAATGCTGAGTTCTTAAAGACATTTCAGAGAAATAGGTCTGCTGTGGCATGGCATTTCCCAGTACTTTTCCTTAAAAACTATTGTTGGGGGGCTAGGGATGTAGCTTAATGGAAGACCACTTGCCTCACAAGTACAAAGCTCTGGGTTCCATGGTGAAGGGGACAAAAACCCCACAATAACCAAAAAGACATTTTCACAGACAATGATATCAGGTCAGCTCCCTGAGGGACCATTTAACAATAGAAGTAACAACCATAAAGACTTAAGAGGACAAAGAAAACCAAGTCTCACCAGTTCTCTTTAAGATATTCTGTTCATATATTTACAAGTTGCTAGGTACATTACTTAAGAATAAAGTATATCCAGAACAGCCCAATGACTAAATAACTATTTTAACTATGAAGTGGGCAAGAACCACACTGTAGAATAGAATGCTACTCTCTCTTCTTTCAAGGATATTATGAACACATTTTGATGCCTTGAGGACCATGATTCATGTTAAATATGAACAATAGACAAATAATAATATATCTTGCTCCAAAATATGGGGTAGTTTGGCAGTTACAGGTATGCCATCCTATTTTGTAAATTACTATAGAACCTGAAAAGCTAAAAAGGTGCCATAATTAGGACTACAGGAAGCAACTGAAAGGAAGATTAAGTTTAAAAAGAAAAGATGAAACACAGTATATGTTTCATAGTATACAGTGTGCTAAATTTTGTGGAGGAAAGGGAGAAAATAAGAATATATTTGTATTTGCTTAAATGGTTACCTATAGGGCTGGGATTGTGGCTCAGTGACAGAGCGCTTGCCTAACATATATGAGCCGCTTGGTTTGATCCTCAGCACCACATAAAAATAAATAAATAAAGGTATTGTGTCCATTTACAACTAAAAAAAAAAAATGGTTATCTATAGGAAGCAGGAGAAATGGGATTGATAGGCAGAGGTAGGAGCAGGATTTGTTGTAGATCTTTTTATATTGTTTTGATATTTGAACCATGTGACTCTGTTACCTTATAAAGAGGTCTGAGGCAGCCTAGAGTGATGGCTCATGCCTGTAGTCCCAGAGGCTTGGGAGGCTGAGGAAGGAAGATCACAGCCAGCCTCAGCAACTTAGGCTCTAAGCAACTTAGCAGAACCCTGTCTCAAAATAAAAAGTGAAAAAGGGCTGGCAATGTGGCTCAGTGATTAAGCACCCTTGGGTTCAATCCCTTGTATTAAAAATAACAAACAAACAAACAGTCTGAGGCATAGGTACTTATTGATCATTAAGGCTCGAGTACATTTCCTATTGATTTCCCATATGGTATGCTTGTGAATTCTTAGACCAAACAGGGAATTTTTTTTTTTTTAATTTTTTAATGGTACTAGGGATTAAATGGTACTAAGTGTAAGTTCAAGTATGTCTTGAGGTTAAATCCAGAGATTTAGAATGGCTATGCTGCAAGAGTTCTCCTAGGTTAGATGGATTAAATGGTACTAGGGGTGCTTAGTCACTGAGCTACGCCTCCAGTCCTTTATATTTTTTTGAGTTCTGGTCTCACTAAGTTGCTGAACCTCACTAAATTGCTGAGGCTGGCCTCAAACTCACAATCCTCTTGTCTCAGCATGCACCATCATGCCCAGCCTTATTAACTGTTACTATGAATTTCAGAGGACAAGTTGAAGGCCTCCTGAAAATTGACTGCCAAACCACAATGGCTCTGTGTGACAGGTTAGATAGGCAGAATGTCACATAAAGGAGGTCTGAACATCCATGGTTTAGTTAGTTCCACCAAGATGGCGGGTAGATTACCTCTAACTCTCCATCTAACTTAGGAGAACTCTTGCAGCATAGCCATTCTAAATCTCTGGATTTAACCTCAAGACATACTTGAACTTAGCAGGCTAGACTCCACAACCTGTCAATTAAAAATCAAAGTGACTACTCTGAAAACCCAACTCTTGCTTTACAACTTCATCTGTTTAAAAGACCAGCTCATACAAAATTGCCTTTCTGAACTAGGGAGTAGCTCAGTGGTATACCACGTGCATAGCACATATGAGGTTCTGGGTTTGATCGCCAGCACTATAAAAATAAAAACAAAAAAGAAAAACCCAGGGGGTGGGGTTGTGGCTCAGTGTAGAGCACTCACCTGGCACATACAAAGCCCTTGGTTTGATCCTTAGCACCACATTAAAATAAATAAATAAAATAAAGGTATAGTGTCCAACTACAACTAAAAATAAATAAATATTAAAAAAAAGAAAAACCTATAGTACTTTCTCCAGTTCCACAACACTTTTCATTTAATTTATATTCCCTATCTTAGAGGAGCATATTCTTGAATTTCAAAGCAAAACAGGCCCTTTTTCTACACAAACATCTATATCTGTTTGTACTATGATTTGTTAATCTAATTTTCTATTAGATTATTAATTCCTGATAGTACCTCTTAATAATACTGTTCCCCAAAAAACAAACTACTGTTACCATGCATTAGGCTCTTATAAGGGGGACATATAGGGCTGGGTTTGTGGCTCAGAGGTAGAGCGCTTGCCTACCATGCGTGAAGCACTGGGTTCGATCCTTAGCACCACATAAAAATAAAGATATCCCATCCACCTATAACTAAAAAAAAAAAAACATTAAAAAAGGCGGGGACATATATATTTGTTATAGTAAATACAGTGGTTTATGTAAATACTGTGTGACTAAATAAACACTAGTTTCTTTACCTACTTAAGGTTGACTTTTTTTTTTCTTTTTTTGGTACTGGGGATTTAACCCAAGGGCATTTTCACTGAGATTCAATTTCAGCCTTTTGTATTTTTTTGTGACAGGGTATCTTTAAGTTGCTGAAACTTGCAATCCTTCTGCCTCAGCTACCCAAGTACCTGGGATTAAAGGCTTGCACTACCACATTCAACTTTATCTCGTATTTTTATGAATTGCCAAGATCATTGTAATGTCATGTGTAGCTAATAAAAAAAAAAAACTTTATCTCGTATTTTAAAATACTAAAATGTTTTCCTCTTAAGTATCTTTCTATGCATGATAGAAAGCATCATACATGGTAGAAATCAATGCTGCTTACCCACCTAGAACATTTGCCTTTAAGAAACTAGCTTCCTTTTATTAATTTCATTGCCTGTCATGTTTTCCTTTGTTGTAATCTTTTTTATTCATTTTAAAATCATTTAATAGCCAGGCATGGGAGTGTACAGTTACTGGGGAGATGAATGCAAGAGGAATACAAGTTCAAGGCCAGCCTCATCAATTCAGGGAGACAGGGAGCCTGGGGATGTAGCTCAGTGGTACACTACACCTGGATTCAATTCTCAGTCCAAAAGGAAAAAAAGAAAGAAGTCATTTAGTGTATATGTTTGGCCTTTATCAAGGAATTTGGACATTTATTTTTCCAGAGTCCATCTTGTAATTTTAAGCCTACTATTTTTTAAAAATATTTATCAACTTCTATATCTTTTTTTTTTTTTAAAAGAGAGTGAGAGAGAGAGAGAAAGAGAGAGAATTTTTTAATATTTATTTTTTAGTTTTTGGCGGACACAACATCTTTATTTGTATGTAGTGCTGAGGATTGAACCCGGGCCGCACGCATGTCAGGTGAGCGTGCTACCGCTTGAGCCACATCCCCAGCCCTAAGCCTACTATTTTTATAGTCATTTTAAACTGAAAATTATAATTACTTTCTTACCTCAGGAGGGATGATCACAATAAATTAGGAAATGATATTACAGAAAATAAGAAGCAAGATAAATAAATAATTACTATTATATCCATTGAGGAGGATTGCAAGTTTGAGACCAGTCTAAATAACTTAGGGAGACTCTGTCTCAAAATGAAAAATAAAAATGACTGGGAGGTACCTCAGTGGTAAAGTACCCCCAGGTTTGATTCCCAGTACTGCAAAAACAAATACAAGCCCCCCCCCAAACAAACAAACACACAACAAAATGATTGTACAGAACCAAAGAGAAAACCACCAGATAACATTTTTTTTCAGGCTGCAGAAACCATTTAATCCATTTGTACATAAAGAAACTAGCCCAGAGGGGCACAGGGGCACACTTCTATAATCCCAGCTACTTGGGAGACTGAGGCAGGAGAATAGGAAGTTTAAGGCCAGCCTGGGAAACTTAGTGAACCCTGTCTCAAAATAAAAACTTTCTTAAAAGGGTTGGGGATGTATCTTAGTGATAGAGCACCCCTGGGTTCCATCCCAGTACTGCAAACAAAGCAAAGGAATGAAAAAAAAAAAGAAACTAGCACAGAGCTGGGTGTGTAGAAACACAACACATTAAATCCTTCCCATCTGTTTTCTCTGGCTTCTCAAAATGTAAAGCAAGTAAAATGGGGTTTAACCAAATCTTTGTCCAAGGAAGAGAATTTCTTTAAAAAAATGTATATGTTAAGATCTGCTAGAGTAGAAGATTAGAACAGCATATTATCATCAGATGCTGGAATTATGACTACTATAAGCAATTGATTTGAATTTATTTGAACAGTAACTCCTTTAAAATCTACATGATTCATCAAAATTCCCTCCATTCCCAACCAAGACTAATGCCCCATAGAGTTGTCCCAGTCCAGAAAATAATTTGTTACTGATCTATTACCCAATGTACCATTACAGTCCAAGTGCAGATTACAGTGAGTTCCCCTCTACCTGGATTAATGATAATTGGATTTCATTTCTAAACATATCAGAGCTTTCAAAGATTGAAATCTACAAATCTTCACTACCCAGGTCTCCTTGCCTGAGCAGGACACAACCAAGTAGTAAGAACATTTATCAAAAAGGGACATATTAGGCTTCACAGGTGCCACGCAAGAATCATAAATGCTTGTTTCACATGATGTCTTCCATTAACCTGAAGCCTTTGGTTTGTTTCTTTCAGCAAACCACTCATCACTTTTATCTGCCGCCATTGCCTACAGAAACAGAAATATACATTTATTCCAAGTCTGAAAAACAATATACACTTTATATCTCACTGCATGTACTATGCACAAAGAAGAAATTGATATTTAAAGAGTGTTCATCCAGTGTATTTTGTTTAATGTGACAGAGATGCTAGTGAATACTGAGCAACCGCTTGGTGATTATCACTCTGCAGAGTTAAGGGCAAAGTCTGTTGGCTGATGAAAGAGCAGGGACCATGCATGCCAGCCTGTGAGGTCTGTGGTAGAACAAAAATCTTTAGTGTCATGAGACTCAATCTGAGACTGAGGCCAAATAAGAGCGGGTATTTAATGTTTTAGCTAGTGGGCCTTGAATGATTCACTTTTTAAAAAAATATATTTATTTTTTAGTTGTAGTCGCACACAACTACAACTATTTATTTTTAAGTGGTGCTAAGGATCAAACCCAGTGCCTCACACATGCAAGGCAAGCGCTCAACCATTGAGCTACAACCCCAGCCCAAATGATTCACTTTTTAAAGGCTCCTCCTAGCCTACTCCACCAATATTGGTTCTGTTGGGTTAGTTTTGTGCCTATTAACTCAAGGAGAATCCTTGTTAATGAAAGAACTCTTACAAGAGTTCTTTTAGCTGTTTGTAAAGAAAAACACTTAGGCAGCCCAAAAGCAAGTATGGAAATAGCTTTCTTAAAAAAAAAAAAAAAAAAAAAAAAAGGACAGGGCTGGGGTGGTAGCTCAGTGGTAGAGCATTCGCCTCGCACACGTGAGGCCCTGGGTTTGATCCTTACTGCCACCATAAAAAAATAAAGTTATTGCGTTCATCTATAATTAAAAAAAATATTTTTTAAAAAATGACAGTTTTCATCACAAGCTAGGTACTAAGCTGGATCAGGTGTGGCTGCTGTGACAAAGTCTCAGGCTTTGGGGTCTATATAGAACAGCCTAGGACTCACATATGGAAACAATTACTTTGCACAGAGAATATGTGTGTGTGAGGCATTCACTATAATACAGCCATGAACAAAGTGGTACCTGACCAACAAGAAACAACTAATTGGAGAAAGTGTAAAAAATACCCATCTACCTTCAGAAGGAAGTCACAAGATGATGTCAGTAATTGAAAATGAGAAAACAAATGTATATAATGTATATATCTTGTTTAGAAACAGTAAAGGTGATGGCAGTCTTGGGTAATGGGTCAAAGATGGGGCAAGACATTATTACATTTCATTTATATAAATCTTAGTACTGGGCTGGGGATGTAGTTCAGTTGGTAGAGTGCTTGCCTTGCATGCACAAGGCCCTGGGTTCCATCCCCAAAACCACAAACAAACAAACAATAAAATCTTAGTATTATCTGATTTATTCTGATGAAAATAAAAGGTGCTTAAAAATCAAAGATATGCTAAAAAGCAACAAAGATTCACAATAGTTGGAATTGCAAAATTTTCTGTCTTTTAGGTACCATAAAAGTGGAGGGACAGAACCCAAGAAACTTTCTTAGTTTTTTGGTCTTTTTTTTTTAGATGTTGATGAACCTTTATTTTATTCATTTATTTATATGCGGTGTTGAGAACCAAACCCAGTGCCTCACACATGCTCACAAGTGCTCTACTACTGAACCACAACCCCAGTCCCAGCTCTCTGAGTTTTGAAGCACAAGTTGAAGAACAGGGAAGAGAAAAAAACTCTTTGGGCAAGGCAAGGTTTGGGTTAATATAAACAGTTCAGTGGGACTGGAATATGGATAGGTAAGTGACCTTTGGGAGACAGGTAGAATAGATCAGAATAGGGAAGGGTCAGACATGTCCACGTCCTCTGTCAGAGGGTTTGGCATACATCTTGAAAGTACTGGAGAGCTATCAGAAGATTAAACACTTGTAAGAATTACTGGATTGCTGCTGTGGAAAGCTAACACTGGCAGCAAGAAAGGGGGATGTACTGGAAGGTGGCAAGAGGCTTTTGCAGTATTACAGGGGATAATGAGGACATTTTCAAAAATAAAGTTGTCAGACCAAAGACATTTCAGAACTCACATCTCTTGGTGACTAAGAGCTAGAAGAATTTAGGAGTGTGAAGAAACAACATACAAATGTGGCTCTGTCTGTACATCTAAAGCTATTTTAAAATAAAAAAACATGTTAAAAACAAAACAACAACATCAAATCAGTCCTGAGGACTGTGGTGTGAACAATCGGGATAAAAGACATACTGTATATACTACCCACAAGAAGAAGCAGGATATAGAGAAAGGAAAAGAATCTACTGTGAAGCCCAAAAGACCTCCACCCAAGCCCCTGCTTGACACTTAGCTGAATGAATGATGTTTATGGCTGAGTGGCTTAATCATTTTTTTTAAATTTATTTTTTTAGGTGTAGATGGACACAACACAATTTCTTTATTTTTAAGTGGTGCTAAGGATTGAACCCAGCTCCTGCCCCTGCTAAGCGAGTGCTCTACCCCTGAGCCACAATCCCAGCCCTGGATTAATCTTTTTGAGCCTCAGTTTTCTCATCTGCAAAGGGGAATGCTATTAATCTTGCAGACTATACTAAGAATTATAGAAAGTACATAAAACACTTAAGAATGTGTCCAAATAAGAGATACTTAATAACAATCTCCATTGAATATTATTAAAAGAAGAATGGATTTTTCTTTTCTTTTTTTCTTTAAGATAAGTTACAGACATGCCGTGGGATCATGGTGAAGAGGCTCACTGGTCTGGAACCAAAAGCACTAAATATAAAAAGTGGATAAATGGGCGTCCCTACTCTTCAAAAGACTCCACTGAGCCGGGAATGTAGCTCAGTGATAACATTTGCCTAGTATGTGCAAGGTCTTGGCTTCAAACCCTAGCACCACCAACAAAATAAAATAAAGAAAATAAAGAGCCAAACCAGAGTGGTAGTACATGCCGGTAATCACAACAACTTGGGAAGCTGAAGCAGGAGGATTGTGAGTTTGAGGCCAGCTTCAGCAACTTAGTGAGACCTTGTCTCAAAATAGAAAACAAAAAGACCTGGGGATGTAGCTCAGTGGTAAAGTGCTCCTGGAATAAATCCCTACACCAAAGACAAAAGAAAACAAAACAGACAAGCCATAGACTAGAAAAAATACTTGCATTTGCAGGTATCTACCAAATTACTTATATATAGAATATATAAAGAACTCTAACAAGTCAATAAAAATGAATAAATTAAAATATAGATTTAAATGAGCCTTAAAATAAGAGCAAATATTTAAATAAGAGAAAGAACATTTCAGGAGAATAAAATATGAACAAAGACATACAGAGTGAACAATAAATTCGTTTTAGAGATTAGTGAATAGCCTAGAATGGTTAAAATGTAAAACAGATCAGAAGTCTACCTTTCAAATCATTTGTCATGAAATCCACTGGATCAGATAAATTTGTTCTGTACTAATAATATATTCTAATTAAATAAAAACTAGTCACAAAAATGTAGGGCAAACCAACAGTATAAAACCATTTTTCAGACAACAGGGAAATTTTAATAACTGGATTTTTATCCCAGGACTGCCAAAAGAGAGGGAATGAGCACTGGATTTTAGATGACACTGTTGATACACAGTTCCCATCCCAGTGCCAGGGATTGAATCCAGGGCCTTGCACATGCTAGCACTCAACCACTGAGCTATAACCCCAGCCCATACTGTATATTTTTTAAGGGTGACAATGTCAACAATGGTTTATAAGAAAATTGTTTAGGGCTGGGGATGTGGCTCAAGTGGTAGCGCGCTCGCCTGGCATGCGTGCGGCCCGGGTTCGATCCTCAGCACCACATACAAACAAAGAAATAAATATTAAAAAAAAAAAAAAGAAAACTGTTTAATTCCTACTTCCTTATATTGTCATAAAAAGTACGAAATACTTAAGTATTTTAGAAATTTAAAAAATGGTATGTTAATCTGAGATTTGTCTTAGAAATCCCCAGCCAAAAGAAAAAAACAAAAGAAAATCAGGACTGGGGATTGAAGGAAAGAATGATAAAAATAACTATGGCACAGAGGTGATGGGTGAGAGTCACACAGGGATTTGTTGTACTTTTCTTTAGTCATCAGAGAAATACAAATTAAAACCAAAACAAGAAACAATCTTTCAACTGTTAGAATGGCTAAAACCCAGAAAACAAAAACCCCAAATGTTGGTGAGGATATGGAGAAAGTGGAATGCTCAAACACCTCCAGTACTTCCCCCTTATCCTTAGGTGATACTTTCCAAGACCCCTAGAGGATGCCAGAAACTGTAGATAGTACCCTATAATTTAGTGCTTTCCTATCTTAACTAGGCACTTACTTTGTCCTATGGCAATAACTTGCATTTTGAAATACAAAAGCAAAACTAATACAAATATCTTTTTACTTCTTCAAATTTTATAGATAAAAGATTTGATCGTATTGTTATCTTGGAATCTCAGCATGTTTTTTTTTTCTTTCCTTATTAATCAAGAATCTTTACCTTTTCACCTAAAAGAAGCACTGTGAAGCTTCTCTTTGGCATAATGAAATTGCCAACATCACTACTTTTGTGCTTTGAGGCCATTATTAAGTAAAATAAGGGTTGCTTGAACTCAAGCACTGCTATATCAAGGCACTTAATCTAAAAACCAAGATGGCTACTAACTGACTAATGTGAGAGGAGTGTATACAAGTGGCTACACTGGATAAAAAGATGATTCAAGTCCTAGGTGGAACAGAACAGGACAACAGGAGATATCATTATGCTACTCAGAACAGTGTGCAATTTCAAATGTATGCACTGTCGCTTTCTGGAATTTTCCATTTAATATTTTTGGAAACAAGAGACTATAGGTAACTGAAATCATGTGAAAAGAGAAATTGCAATTAAGAAGGACTACTATAGTATAATTACTATGAATAGCTATTTGGTACTTTTGGATAAAGTAAAAGCAATTCTACTAAGAATTTACCTGAGGCATGTATCTACAAGAAGATTTAAACAAGAATGTTCATAGCAATCTTCTTTTTAGGAGATAAACATCTGGAAACAGCTCAATTACATAACATTGAAAGAATCAATAAAAAACTGTTATAAAGGTGAATACTATTCAATGAGAAAACAAACAAAAAAGAAATAAACTATGATGTATGTAACTACATGAAGGAATCTCAAAAATGTTGAAAGAAAGAACCGTGTATAAAAGAATACCTACTGAGTGATTCTATTTGTATGAGTCCAAGAACAAACAAAACTAATCTATAGTGCCAGAAATCAGAATAGCACTTGCCTCTGGAAAAAGTGGTCAAGAAAGATGTGAAGAAGGCAGAATCTCAAACTCTAATACCAAAGAAGAGAGTTTAAGAGAAGGGAAAGTTTGTAGATGGCATGAAAGAACAAGGAGGAAGTCCAGCAAAAAGTTGCCTGAGATTCTAGTTTCCTGCATAAAATTTACAAAAGATGTATCTGTATCTTCTTACACATTTCCTGCTTTAGTCTATGGTTTGCTGAGCTTTAAAAACCACAGAAAAATCCCATGAAGCAGATATTCTTACTTTCTCAGATTGTTAGATAAAGAAGCAGGAGTTCAAAGAATTTAAGTAAATTGTTTAAGATCATTTATATAGATATTAAAATGACAGGACTGGGATAGACTAATTAATTCCTTCAATCATTCAATAATGTATTTAGAGATAAGCCAGGTAAGATAAGTAGTGGCATGTGCCTATAGTCCCAGCTACTTAGGAGGCTGAGGCAGGAGGATCACTTGAACCCAGGCATTTGAGACCAGCCTGGGCAACAACTGCAAGACCCTATCTCTCTCTCTCTCTGTCTCTCATATATACATACACACAGAGTATTCAGAAAACCTTTACTACATGCTAGATACAAGAAGTCTGAGTAATTCCTTTGAAGATTGCTTGGAAAAAAATTTTAATACAAAATTTTTCATTTTAATACAAAATTTAAAATTGTAAATACAAAAACAAAACAAAACAAAACACAACTAACTTTTTTTAAAATCTTTTTTTTAAGAGGGTGGTACTGGGAAGTGAACCTAGGGCTTTACACATGTTATGTAAACACAATACCCCTGAGCTACTTCCCCAGCCCTTTTATTTTTATTTTGAGACAAGGTCTCTGTAAATTTCCCAGACTGTCCTTTAACTTTCAATCTTCCTGCCTCAGGCTCTCAAATAGCTGGGACTACAAGCACATACTACCATACCTGGCTGAAAAATCCAGTTTGATGAAAATAAAAAAGAAGTTTCTGGATTTGGCAAGATGGAAGTCCCAAAGATGTCAACATCAGCAAATATTTGAGTGACAAAGAGTTACTGCAGAATAGAGTGAAGTATAAATGGAGAGTAAAAAGTAGAAACTGTGTGCAAATTTTTAAAGAAGAAATCTAGGACTGGGGTTGTAGCTCAGTGGTAGAGCGCTTGCCTCTCATGCGTGAGGCCCTGGGTTTGGTGCCCAGCACCACATAAAAATAAAGATATTGTGTCCATCTACAACTAAAAAAAAAGGAGCGGAGGAAGGAGGGGGAAGAGGGGGGGGAGGAGAAGGAGGAGGAGGAGAAGAAGAAGGAGGAGGAGGAGGAGAGGAGGAAGGGAGGAAGGGGAAGAGGAAGAAGGGGAAGAGGAAGAAGGGGAGGAGGAGGAAGGGGAGGAGGAGGAAGGGAGGAGGAAGAGGAAGAAGAAGAAATCTATAGCCCAGTGTGGTGGCACACACCTATAATCCTAGCAGCTTAGGAGGCTGAGACAGGAGGATGGCAAGTTCAAGGCTAGATTCTGAAGATGTAGCCCAGTCATAAAGGTCCCTTGGGTTAAATCCCCATTACCAAATATAAAGAAAAAAGAAAGAGAGAAATTTATAAAGAAATCCAAAGAAAGGATATGGAGTTAATACAAAGCTTAAAAGATGGGAACTATTGGAGCTTGCTTGTATGCTGATGAGAACAATTCACTAGGAAGACAGACTGAGCTGCTGAATGGAAGAGAAGACCAGAAACCTAAGAAAGTGAGATGGAGCTGGGGCTGGGGAGCTGGGGTTGTATCTCAATGGGTAGAGCGCTCACCTAGCATGTGTGAGGCACTGGGTTCGATTCTCAGCACCACATAAAAATAAAAGCATTGTGTTGTGTCCATCTACACCTAAAAAATAAATATTAAAAAAAAGAAAGAAAGAGAATGAGATGGGATGGTATCTTGGCATTCCCACACTTACTGAGCAGAATAATATTGTATACAGCAGCAGTGGTTCTCTAAGACGCCTGAGTCTACATAAGGGGTCATACAGGTAACAATGAAGACACAGGTCCCTGGCTAAAAAGTCACCCCAACAGCAAAAGGATGTGGTTCAGACATAAGAACCTGGACCCTACTGCTTTGGCCCTTTCCCATATACATTTATGCCTTCCCCCTTAGGCCTATGGTGACATAATATAGAAATAAGACTCACTGGCTAGGGTCATAGCACACTGGTAGAGCACTTGCTTAGCATGTATGAGGCATAGGGTTCAATTCTCAACACCGCATATAAATAAATAAAAAATAAATAAAGGTCCATTGACAACTAAAAAATATATGTTAAAAAAAAAAATCAGACTCACATCATCCAATAATTTGCTTCCCTCTGGATCCATTTTAGAAAGTTCTCGAAATGCTTCATCCCCAACAAAGCAAATTTCATGTCCATCCTATACCAATAAATAGAAAAGCAATTTGTAAAAAGACATCTCTGAAGAAACCCATGGTAAAGCCTGTCTCCTTGCTCAGTAATACTTACAGGGTCAGCCAGAATCACTACTTGTACTGTGGCCTTCCCTGGGGTATCCAGACTCACCAAGGGAGTCAGTATCGTCTGGTTCTCCTTTTTCATTAAGTCTTCTAAGTCTGGCAACTTGAGAAAAAGAAGGCAAAGTGAGCAAGGATCACATACTACTTTTATGGCAAGGATCAAATACTCATTAGCTCCAGATGAGTATCTGATCAGAAAGAACCATGGCACCAATTGTTTGATTTTATTATCTTAATGGCTCTTAAAATAACTGTTGAACTTGATTCCAAAGCGACAATCAGAATGAACCTGAAGAAGGAAGGCCAAGGTCCTCAGCTGAGTGGAACCAGCTAGTCACAGAGATTAAACAAAAGTCAGGTGATCTAACATTACCTCTTTATGGGGACAAGAAAAGGCAATTCTTCCAAAAGCTGCTGCATGGTCAACTGCACCCTTGATGCCCTGCAGCTCCAACTTACACTGAGAAGAAAGAAGAGAGTTTATGCTTCTGGACAGGTTATACATGCATATGGTAACAAAATTCAAACAGTGGGGCGAGGGATGTAGCTCAGTAGTAAAGTATTTGACTAGCATGTTTAGACCCTGGGTTTGATCCTAGATCCCCAGCACATTAAAAAAAAAAAAAAAAAAGTTAAAGAGTACTAAAAGAAGTAAAAACAAAGTCTTCCTCCTACTTTCACCCAAGAAGCCACCAGTCTCCAATGTCCAGAGTTTTCTTCTAGGCACATTTTGTGTGTGTGTGTGTGTGTGTGTGTTTTGTTTTATATAAATGGTAGCCCAATTTACAAGTTATTCTATCATTTGTTTTCTTTACTTAACATTACCACATACCAGTACATAAAGATTTGCCCCAGGCTTTTCAATAGCTATATAATAATCCATTCTGTTTTTTTTGTATTGTTTTTGTTTTTTGTGAGGGGGTTTTTTGGTACTGGTGATGGAACCCTTGTGCATAGTAGGCAAGTCTTCTACCACTGACCTACATCCCCAGTATCCTATTCTATGGATTAATTATACAGTTTTTAAATATTCCTCTAATCCACAGGACCTGAAGATTCCTATCTTTTCCTACTACAAACAATGCTACAATAGATAACCACAAACACACTTCTTTGTGCATGTATATGCTGAGTACATCTATTAAAAAATAGACCCCAGGGCTGGGGTTGTGGCTCAGCGGTGGAGCCCATGCCTAGCATGTGCGAAGCCCTGGGTTCGATCCTCAGCACAACATAAAAATAAATAAAAGTATTATGTCCAACTACAACTAAAAAGTAAATATTAAAAATATATATAATACGGGCTGGGGTTGTGGCTCAGTGATAGAGCACTTGCTAGCACATGTGAGGCGCTGGGTTTGATCCTCAGCACAACATAAAAAGAAATAAAATAAAGGCATTATGTCCAACTACAATTTAAAAAAAAAAAAAAAAAATATATATATATATATATATATATATATATAAAACAATCCCAGCTACTTAGGAGGCTGAGGCAGGAGGATCACAAGTTCAAGGCCAGCCTGGGCAAATAATAGAGATCCTGTCTCAAAAAACAAGACAAAACACAACCCCCAATAAGGGCTGGGAATGTCACTTAGTGGTAAAGTAGTTGCCTAGCATGTATAAGACCCTGGGTTTAACCCCAAGTGCCACCAGAAAATAAAATATCCAAGAAGTACAATTGCTGGGCCAAAGTATAAAGACTAAATCAGGTTCAAATGCTAGGTTACTAAGTATATATATACTTACATATATAAAAACAGATCACGCATTAATTCTTGTTTGTGTCTAAGAAATTCCACCTCCTATAATGTGTTGGCCGTGCTGGGGATAGAACCCAGGGCCTTTCATGTTAGGCAAAGGCCTTTCACTGCTCTACCACTATGCCATATCCCAGCCTATTCCACTTCAAAACAGATATATTCCCAAATAGAAACAGAAATAATATCTGAGTGGTGAGATTATCACTAATTTTTATTTTATTCTTTCTGTCTGTATAAACATTGAATCAGGGCTGGGGTTGTAGCTCAGTGGTAGAGCATGTGTGAGGCGCTGGGTTCAATCCCCGGCACCACCACATTAAAAAAAATAAAATAAAAATATTGTGTCCACCTACAACTATAAATACATACATACATAAATAAATTTTGAGTCACTGTGAAGAACTATGGGAACAACCTTCATGTTCCCCTCATTTATAAAACAAACTCAAAGAAACAAGTTATTTTTTTCCAAGATCACTTACCTGGTTATCAGCATAGCCCAGCAAAGCCCTTTGTTTCTCTTCATCTTGTTCATAAATTTTCATTCCCAGTAGATTAGACCAGTAGTGCAAGGACTTCTGAAGATCAGACACTGCAAGAGTTACTTTCAATACAGGATCTGTAAAGTAATAAATCAGCAGGAATAGATAGGTCATTTTGGTACAACAGATTAAAAAGACCAAGCTGGGCATGGTGGATTGCAAGTTCATGGTCAGCCTCAACAATTTAGAGAGACCCTCAGCAATTTAACAAGACCCTGTCTCAAAATAAAAAACAAAATGGGCTGGGGGTGTAGTTCAGGATTACTGGTTTCAAACTCCAGCACCACAAAAATACATATATACAAAAATAGGCTTAGGGCTGGGGAGATAGCTCAGTTGATAGCCCTAGGTTCAATCCCCAAAACAAAACACTCAATCATATATAAGAATTTAGTTAATGGGGGTGGGAATATTCCTTAGTAGTAAAGTGTATGCTTTGCATATGTGAAGCTCATGGTTTGATATCCCCCAAAAGAATTTAGTTTATGATTTAAAAAAGGATTTTAAATCAGTATGAAAGGGCACCTTATTCAATAGACGACACTAATTTAATTGGATAATCAATTGGTGGGGAAGAGGTATGTATTTGAACTAAATAGAAAATTAAATGCATTCCTAATGGGTTAAAGGGATCAAGTTTAAAGAATAAAACTAAGAAAATACTAAATACAGGTGATGATTTATACAATTTTAGATTGGAGGATGATTTTTATTTAAATATGACACCAAAGATAGAAAAACCATGAAGAAAAAAAGCCTGCCAGGTTAACTACACAAAATGGGAAAATCCTAGACAATAAGAACTAAAAGAAGAATTCTAGGGCTGTGGATGTAGGTCACTGGTAAGGTACAGGCCTAGCATGTACAAGCCCTGGGTTGAATCTTGAATGCTCCTTGTCCCCCAAAATAATTAATAATTAAGATTAAAAAGTAAAGAATTGGGCTGGGGTCGTGGTTCAGTGGTAGAGCGCTTGTCTAGCATGTATGAAGCACTGGGTTCGAATCTCAGCACCATACATGAGTAAATATAGTCCATTGACAACTAAAAAAAATAAAGAATTAGGAAAAAATTTTTGCTATACATAGGACAAACATTAATATGAAAATCATATTTAAGTACCAATGAGAAAAAGGTGAACAGCCTAGAAAAATTGGCAAAAGGTGCAAAGCAGATATCCACATGAGGAGGAACTGCAATGGTCAATGAACATGAAAAACTTATTCAACCTCACAAATCATCAAAGAAATTTAAATTCATATAAAATATTTCATCTAACTGGCAAATAATTTGGTTTTTCATTATTATTATTTTTATTTTTGTTCTCTTGGCAAACAATTTTAGTTTTTTCACATTGTTTGAATTAAACCCACGTCCCCAGCCACAGGAAAATAATTTAAAAAGTAGTGTTAACTGTGTGTGTGTGGGGGGGAGCGGGCAGGGGTCACAATCATAGAGTAATGATAGAGTGTAAATTAATACATTTCTGGTCAACAATTTGATAACTGCCTCACATGTATGAGGACTGGGTTCCATCCCTGGCACTGCTTTAAAAAAAAATAACAGTATTCTTGACAGAATGTATCAAAATCTTTAAAAATGTACATTATTAAAAGAGCAAGTCCAGTTTCAGCAATTCAAAAAGTAATTGTGGATGTATGAAGGTCTTTCATCACAAAGACACTTGTCAGTGTTGCCCAAAAAATGAAACACTGGGAATAACATAAACATTCAACAATAGAGAATTGTTTATCTTCCTACAATGTGATAATGCAATGGAATTCTTGCAATGGATAATGAAGACAGATCCTGTCTAAAATAAAAAAGGGCTGGGGATGGGGCTCGGTTGAACCCTGGGTTCAATCACTGGTACCAAAACAAAACAAATCAACAAGTCCCAGTTGATTCAGAACCTGAAGGAATGCAGGAACAGGAATGGGAATAAGTTTTTGAAACTAAACAGGAATGAATAATTCAAACAAAGGATGGATGCCAGCTAGACTTCTACTTCTCTTACAATGCCAGCCTACTTCTCTTACAATGATGGGTTCAGCAGCAAGCACAGTGTATTAAATCTGACCAGGAAGTTAGCTAAAAGATTACAAGAAAGTTCTGCACAAAGAACAGTAAGAAGTTGGTTTCCTGACCCCTGCCCAAGTGAATGTGTGACAACATGTAGCCCTAACTGCTACTGGCAGCAGATTTAACTCCATTACCAACAGAAAATTAATGCCCCAAGGATGTTATCATTACCTCCCAAGGAGGACAAAAACAGTATCTAAAACACTTGGGACTCTAAGTGTTTCAGATTTTCAGGTTTTAGAAAATTTGCACAGACTTTTACTGGTTGATCATCCCTGATCCAAAATGCTCTGAAATCTGAAACTTTCTGAGTGCAGACATGACGTTCTAAGTATGATGTTTTGGATTTCAGAACATTTGGAATTTTTGGAATAGGAATACTCACCTGTATTGAATAACTATTAAGATTAGAGGAAGAAAAAAAAAGTATGATGGATTTAGTTGCAGAAATTATGGTTTAAAATAGTATTCAGACCAACCACAGTGACACATGTCTGTAATCCCAGCAACTGGGGAGGCTGAGGTAGGAGGACTGTAAGTTTGAGGCCAGCCTCAGAAACTTAGGGAGACCCTGTCTCAAAATAAAAATAAATAACAATGAGAAAGGGATAAAGATGTGGCTCAGTGATAGAGTAGCCCTCGGTTCAATCCCTAGCAGCAAAAAAAAAATGAAAATAATAAAGTCAGTATATAAAGCAATAATTGCCTGTCAAAAAAAAAAAAAAAAAAAAAACACAGCTAGGAATAGTAGTTCATGCCAATAATCCTAGCAACTGGAGAAGTTGAGGCAGGAGGACCACAAGTTCAAGGCCATCCTCAGCAACTGAACAAAGCCCTAAGCAACCAAGTGAGATTCTGTCTCAAAAAATAAAAAGGGGATCTAGCTCAGCAATAAAGTACCCCTTGGTTCAATCCCCAGTACCAAAACAAAACAATGACAAAAATGCTTTCTGCATCATGTCCCAAATGCTGAGTCTAATTTTAGTTTTCAGTGCTATTTGTTTTTCATCATGCTCAGCAAAAAGAAAGACCAATCCTTTCTGATGTGGGAGGGTAGACCAGCTGTGTAGGACTTATTGCAAGCTGGTATTTCTGTACTTCATTGATGATTGAAGGGTTTTTTTTTTTGTTTTTTTATTTTCTGTATGGGGGGATTGAACCCAGCATGCTTTACCATGAGCTACATCCCAAGTCCTTTTTATTTTGAGACAAGGTCTTGCTAAGTTGCTGAAGGCTTTGCAAAGTTACTGAGGCTGGCCTTCAATTTGCAATCCTCCTGCCTCAACTTCCAGAGTTGCTGGCATTACAGACATGTATTACCACACCTGGCTTGGAAAAAAGAATTTATATGGTTCATGTCAAGTCACCTACAGGCATGTGTTCACTGAGTGAAATGGCAGGCAGAATTGTCCTTGTTCTTTACCAGCCTCCTCCTGCCCTGCACTGCTACCACCTCACCCTTTTTTTTTTTTTTTTTGCTTTTGTGTTGGCAAAGAGGCAGTTGAATTTATAGGAATTAAGTATACATGATGAAGCTGTCACTATCTTGAAAAAACACACCTTGTGAGATTTCTTTCCTGCTTTATGTGACAGGCAGTGTGGTGAACTCCTCACTTCTGTTTCATCGTTACCAAGTACCAGCATAGAGTTTTGGAAACTAACCTCAGCTCAAGTGGTGTGTCTAGGAATAATCCTACTTCTCTTACAATGATGGGTTCAGCAGCAAGCACAGTGTATTAAATCTGACCAGGAAGTTAGCTAAAAGATTCCAAGAAAGTTCTGCACAAAGAACAGTAAGAAATTGGTTTCCCGACCCCTGCCCAAGTGAATGTGTGACAGTATGTAGCCCTAACTGCTACTGGCAGCCATCCTATCATCAAGAGGACTTAGCTCTAGGAGAAATACACTGAAGAAAATAGAACATTTTAGAGAAAACTTGGGTAGTGACACTGATATTTTTTCTACTAGAATACCTGCTCTGTGAGCTAAAAATTTTTCCTATCATTCAAATTAGTCTGAGTTGGGTTTTCTGTTATTTGCAACTGAAAGAATCATAAGTAGGTGCATTACCAATAGTACAAAACCAGTCTAGATTCCCTGTTGACTAATGTTCTAACATGATAATATAATTACTCAGAAAACAGGTAAGAGCACTGGCTTGTGAAGGACATGTCATATCAAAACAAAAAGACTCTATAGCAGTAAGAAACCCCACTCCCTCTCTTCTTTCATCAAAGGTGGCTTTAGACAGGTGCTCTGGTTTGGATCTGGAATGTTCCCAAGGCTCAAGTGTTGAAGACTTAGTTCTCAATGCAGCAAAAGTCCCAGAGGTGGGACTTTCGGGAAGTGATTGTCTCATGAGGGCTCTAACTTCATCGGTGGACTGGTCCATTAATGGGTTTAATAATCTGATGGTATTATGAGGAGGTAGTGAAACTGTAGGATGTAGGGTCTAGTTGAGAAATTAGGTCACTAGGGACACACCCCGGAAGGGCAATTCTTGTCCCTGGCCCCTTCCTGTTTCTCAGTTCTCTGCCATGAACCGAGAAGCTTCCCTTGGCCATACCCTTTCATCATTATGTTCTGCCTCATCTGAGGCTCAAAGCAACCATGGACTGAAACTGAGTCAAAATACACTTTTCCTCCTTTAAGTTGTTTATATCAGGTATTTTGGTCATAACAACGAAAAGCTGAATAACACAACAGGTTTTTACTCATCCTGATGTAATTACCTGACTGAAGTAGACTGCGATTCTGCAAATAGAATTTATATCCTCCTGGGGCCTCAATTTCAAAAACTCCTTCTGCAACTTCACTGAGTGGCCACTCCAGCTTCCTGGCATTGCTGACAGCCTGGCTAGAAGCAAGTGTGATTCCCTATAACAAACAATGAACACACCCACACATATAATCACAACAGATCTTTTACAGAACAAGGAGCCAAAGTCCACTGACTCTAGGTCAAATTACTTAAGATTTAATTGGCATTCCAAAATTTTCTTCCATTAATTGCAAAGTATGTTTTGGATGTTTTCCTCCCACAAAGATTCAGATGTTTTTGGATCACAGAAGAGAAATTCAAATGTCAGTAAAGTATATCTATTCAAATATTCAAGATCTAGGGCTGGGGGTACCGTGGTACTGTGCTTGTCTAGTATGTACAAGGCTCTTGGTTCAATCCTCAGTTGAAAACCAACAAACAAAAAAATATTTTTTCAAGATGAAGCCAGAGAAATCTTGATTTTTCCTTGGCCTGTCAGCTACCTCTTCTGAGATTTTATTTATTTATTTATTTATAGGCATGGTCTGGTTATGTAGCCTAAGCTGGGCTTGAACTTGGCAATATTCCTGCCTCAGCCTCCTGAGCCATTTTTTTTTTTTAAGTTGTAGGTGGACACAATATCTTTATTTTTATGAGGTGCTGAGGATCAAATCCAGTGCCTTATACATGCAAGGCAAGTGCTCTACCAATGAGCCACAACCCCAGCTCCTAATTTTTGCTTTTTGTTTTAAAATATTTATTTTTTAGTTGTAGTTGGACACAATACCTTTATTTATTTTTTATGTGGTGCTGAGGATCGAACCCAGGGCCCCACACTTGCTAAGCAAGTGCTCTATTGCTGAGCCACAACCCCAGCTCCCAATTTTTGCTTTTTATTTTAACTTTTTCTATTTAGAATTTATTTTAAATTTAGGGCTTCCTGGTATTTGGCTTATTTGCAAATGTTGGTAGTAATGATAACGTAGTCTTCACTTTTGTGTAAAATAGGTAGAGAACCCAAATTTGAGGGGGAATAATGCAAACAAAACAATATAACATTTATATGAGGCAGAGAGGTAAGATCCTGAAGCTATGATGAGAGCCCAATATGTCTCTACTGAAACTTTGGGGTTTGCAGGCACCCCCCAGGACAAGGGAGTATACTGCCCACTCCCATGTCCCCAGGAGGGGAGTCCTATATGGAAATAATGGCCACCTCTGGGGTGCAGCTTCTGAGGTTCTGCCTCTGCAAGCAGAGCCTGGGCATCTGATAAGGACAGGTTCCAGCCCAGGACCAATTTTTGCTTTTAAAACAACAAAAAATTAAACAATTAATGAACTTTAAATTTACTCAAGTACTCAATAATGTACACTTGGGTCTCCTGAAAAGGCCAGCCTCATTTCTTTTTTAAATAATTTTTTTAGTTGTAGATGGACAGAATATCTCTATTTATTTATTTTTATGTGGTGCTGAGGATCAAACCCAGGGCCTCACACATGAGAGGCAGGTGCTCTACCACTGAGCTACGGCCCCAACCCCTGCCAGCCTCATTTCTAATTTGGACTATAATAGTCTCTGCTGCAATCTGATTAATTCATCACCCACTGTGCAGCCACAGTAAACTTTCCAAAATGCACCCAATAGCCTGTTTTCAAGATAGCTCCTGGACCTTGCTTTCTCCTCTGCTCAAAACCCTCAATAGCTCTTCATTTCACTCAGATGGATTATAGTGGCCTAAAAAGGTTCAATCTAATCTGACCCCATCTCCTACCACCTTTCCCTGGTGTTCTCCATTCCAGTCACCCTGGTTTCCTTGCATTTCCACATGGCTAACTCCCTTACCTCCTCGGAACCTTTGCTCCAATGTCACCTCCTCATGGATTCACGGACTCAACAAATTCAGATTAAACAAGTCATCTACCCTAGCCAAAAATCTACTGGGATAGAGTGATATTTACCATGAAGTCATTGCCCAGCTTGTAGTCTCCAATGCCATAATTGTAAGTCAGCTCTGCAACAAAATGATCATCCTCAGGCCCAAATCCCACCATTGTTTTACTCCATTTCCCATCATAAGGCCTAGAAAAATGAAAGTAAATGAACCCAGTGACCATAGGCAAAATCTGCTATAGTCCTCCCTCAGAGAATTATGGGGCACAGAATGGTGGGCAATCCCTTCTGGTCCTAAAAGTTCTCATAAGGTTATGATGACCTCAGGAGTTGCTGAGAACAGCTGAGGGCAGTGCTCATGGGCCCCAACTACAAGCTTCAAAGATCATCTGTTTAGCACTTTACTGGAAGGAAAGATTCATTTACACCTTCTTTTTTGGCAATGGGGATTAAATCCATGGTCTTGTGAATGGTAAGCATTAGGTAAGCACTCTACCACTAAGCTATATCCCTAGCCCTTTAAATATTTTAATTTTGAGACAGGGTCTTGCTAAGTTGCCCAGGCTGGTCTCAAACTCGTAATCCTCCTGCCATATCCTCCTTAATAGCTGGGGTTAAAGGCATGTTTGTTCACTTTTCTTTAAAGCAGAAAGTAGAATCCTAAAGAAAAAAAGAATACTAATTTCCAACCTAAGTTCCTAAGTTCTGAACTTAGTTTGTTTATTTGTATATCAATCAACAAGCACACAAATCCCAACAGGCCTTGGAATTTTTCAACTTGATGTGGCTATTAAACTTAAAAGATACTCAATAACCAATGTTTTATCCAGAGCACATATTTGTGTTTATGGTGTAATATATCTAATTCCTGTCACAGAGGTCCAAAAATCCTTGGAATTTCCTGGTATTGGGGTATCTTTCCTAGTAAGTCCTTTCCATAATGCCTGAGTTTATGATAATGAACTGTCTTAGAGTGGGGCCCTTAGAGAGCCCTAGAATAGGGCTGACTCCATAAAAATCAAGTAATGAAAGGGTTTGAAGTTTCAGCCCCACTCCCCTTTGGGAAGGGGAAGGGTTAGAGATTAAGCTCTAATAATCTGTGTAAAACTACTGAACAACAAAACTAGATGAGCTTCTGGGTTGCTGAACACATGGAAGTACTATGAGGGTGAATATCCAGAAAGAATATGGAAGCGCCACACCTCCTTTCTCCCATATTCTGCTCTATGCACCTCTCCTACTTGGCTGTTCCTGAGTTACAACCTTTATAATAAACCAGTAAATAAAAGTAGTGTTTCTCTGAATTGTGAGCCTTTCTAGCAAACATGTGAACTTGAAGAGGTAGTCATGGAAACCTCCAATTTATAATTTCTGGTAAATCAGAAATAGCAGAGGCCCAGACTTGTGCTGCGCAGCTATATTGGGGTAGTCTTGTGGGAATGAGCCTTTTATTTGTGGGATCTGACACTAACTTCAGGTGGACAGATTAAGAATTTAGTTAAACAGTAGGACACCTACCTGGTATTGGGAGAGTTGGAGAAATGCCTGGTTTATCAGAAGTGCTATGTGAGAGTACAGAGAAACAGGATGGTTTCCCCAGTGTTCTTCAAGTTACCTCCCTGATTTACTGACTCCTTCATTTATTCCATTTATAGTCACTTTGAGAAACTGCCTTCTGTTCTCCTGGGGGGTATTCAGAGCCTACAGGAGATTTAAGATACAAGATGTCATACCCATTACAGGCAGCTTTGCAGCCTTCTTCAAATTCCTCATGCCGCAGAACCTGGAAAGGGAATTAAAATAAATTGTAAGGTTTTACTAGTATTGCACATAGTATATTTAGCACAAACTAAAAGGTCAAAACACAGACATTATCATTTGTAAACTTTATTTGTTTAAAAAAAAAAGGAAAGGAAAGGAAATGACGGAGAGAAGAAGAGAAGGAAAAAGGAAGAAAAAGAAGAAAGGAAGGAAAGAAAAGCTTTATACCTTTCCCAAGCTAGAAGAGGTAAGGGAGAGCAGCTTGACACCAAACTGCGAGCAAGCCAAGTTGTAAAATTCTACCTAGATTGGGAAGCAGTGCTGAGATGGAAAAAGTGTGGTTTTTCAGCATCAGAAAAATCTGATTTGCAATTCTGGTTCTCATCTAGCAGTGTGTAATTCTGAGCAAGCTGCTTAGGCTTGGAGTCTGTCTCCTCATGTGTTGGTGAAAATGGGTAACTTGTTAAAGCATCTACCATAGAACCTAATATGCATTAGATTCTCAATGTCTTAATTTCTGTCCCCCCCGCCTTTTTCTTTGTACCAAAAACGGAAAAGACACTTTACTATTCAGCTACATTCCCTGTTTAAATTTTGAGACAGGGTCTGGCTAAATTGCTGAGGTTGGCCTTGAAATTGAAATCCTCCTGCCTCAGCTTCCGAAGTCCCTGGGATTTCAAACATGCACCACCATGCCCAGCACTGTTTTCCTTTTCGATTCCATGGCTACTGTTTTAGTTGAAGCTCCCATCATCTCTTTCAAAGACTACTATTAGGCCGGGCACAGTGATACACATCTGTAATCCCAGGAACTCAGGAGGATTCCAAGTTTGAGGTCAGCCTCAGCAATTTAATGAGATTCTCTCAAAATGAAATGGGCTGGGGACATATCTCAGTAGAAAAGTGCCCCTGGGTTCAATCCCCAGAATCAAAGCAAAACAAAACGCAGAACAAAACAAAACTCTACTAATCTTCTTCCATTATACCACCATAAAAGTGTATCACTAAAGAACACTTCTGCCGGGTGCAGTACATGCCTGTAATCCCAGCAGCTCAGGAGGCTGAGGCAGAAGAATCTTGAGTTTAAAGCCAGCCTCAGCAATTTAGCAAAGCCCTGAGCAACTCAGTGAGACTCTGTCTCTAAATAAAATACAAAAAGGGCTAGAGATGTGGCTCAGTGGTTAAGTGTCCCTGGGTTCAATCCCCAGTACAAACCACAAACCATTTCTGATTACATCACTGCCTTATTTAAAAAAAAAAAAATTGGGGGCTGGGGTTGTGGCTCAGTGCTCTTAGCACGTGTGAGGCCCTGGGTTTGATCCTCAGCACCACATATAAATAAACATTTAAAAAAAAAAATTGATCTCCCTATTTACTGAAGCATCAAATCCAAATTCTCAAGCCCAGTATTCAATACACTTTCAGAAGCAATCCCAATCTATTTGCCTTGCTACCCCATCTCTTCAACTTCAAGTAGATAAAGGCACATAAATAGTGGTGTTTCCAAACATATCTTTGCATCATCTACTCAGTTCTTCTAGTATAACTCACTCCTTCCTCTGATTTTGATCCTTGGAAATACTATTTCTATATTCTATAGGTCAACTTGAATGTACAGTCTTTATGTTATTATTCCTTGATGACTCAGGTTAGAAAACCTTGCCTTTTTAATTTTTCTAATACTTCTAGAACATACATATATATCTAAGGGTCAAATGCTTTCTAGATTTAAAAAAATTTATTTAGTTGTAGATGAACACATAGTATCTTTATTTATTTTTTATATGGTGCTGAGGATGGAAGCCAGTGCTTCACACACATGAGAGGCACACACTTTACCACTGAGCTACAGCCCCAGCCCCTCAAATACTTTTTTTTGGTGGTGGTGCTGAGGATTGAACCCAGGACCTTGTGCATGCAAGGCAGGTACTCTACCAACTGAGCTATATCCCCAGCCCTCAAATACCTTCTAAATAACATGTATAATCTTCACAACAGCCCTTTAATCAATGAGGGAAAACAGTAAATAGAGCTTTGTGGTTTTCTGCTATCATTTACTAAGACATTAATTCTGACTTCTACTACTTTTAGCTAGGTACAAATTCAATCCCCATCTCCACCTCACCCCTGACCATGAGCTCTAGTTGTGGCTAGATATCAAAATCTTTTGCAAGTCTGTCATCAAAACTCAACACAGTACCCTGAAAAAATATTTCACTGTACTAAACCTCAACCCTTTTTTGAGACAGGGTCTCACTAAATTGCTCAGGCTGGCCTTGAACTTGTGATCCTTCTGTCTCAGCCTCCTGAGTAGCTGGGATTACAGGCCTGCACCATCCTGCGGTCACTGCATATATTTTTTTAAACCACTGATGTACTCAGGTAACTCCCTTTGTACTCCGGGTCTTCTGTACTGTTTCTACACAAAACCACCCTTGGCTCTAACAATGCCTTCAACACTGGTGTGTACTCTCCTTCCCTGACTTACTAGGAGTTCCCTAAAAACCTCCTTCCATGTTCTCAGGTGAGCGACCCGTGAAGAATCACAGCTTCTCAGAGCTGGAGACATGCAATTTGATGAAGGCAGTGGGGAAGAGAATGGATTCTGACCTCATACTTAGGCCTGGATTGTTGAAAGGAGAGTCAACGATTTATCCAGAGAGATGAGAGAGTTATGGAGAGAAACCACACAAACTAGCCCTGACCAAAGCAAAACTTTGAATATGCTGATTATCTACCCAGAAAGGCTCCAATACCAGAAGAGACTGCGTTATTGTTCACTGGAAGAATATTATGTAAGTTTTTGGTTGTTTATTATCTTCACAGTACATTGGAAGCTCCCCAAGGCAGACGCTCAAAAATATTTGTGTATGTAAGTGAAAAAACGTGCGCATAGCTAGCATGTCAATCCTTTTTTGTAACGCCCACCGCGGTGGCCCACGCCTGTAATCCCTCCGGAGGGAGGCTGTGGCAGGAGGATCCCAAATTCGAGACCAGTCGGGGCTATTTGGCGAGACACTGCCTCAACTAAAATTTAAAAAATTAAAATTATTTTTTTTAAAGGTTGGCCATGTAGCACAAGTGGTAACTCGCTTGTAGAGCATTGCGAAGCCCTGGGCTCGGCCTCCAGTATCAAAAAAAAAAAAGAAAAGAAAACACAAAACAGTACCTAACCCGTAACCGGGGACTCAGCGTTTCCTGAAGCTGAATACCCCGCAGGGCCAATGGGAGAATCCAGGGCCCAAGGTCCGACCACACACCCTTGACCCCCCTCCTCCGCCAGGCACTTCCAGCCTCGCGCGCCAGCCCCTGTCGGCCCCAGCCTGCACCTTCATCCCCAGGACATCTCGAAAGAAATGCGTCGTCTGGAAGCGGTTTCCCACTTTGAAAACGAAGTGCAGAGCTCGGCGACCAGCCATGACTCCCCACGCCACACCACCGGCACTCAGACAGCGACGCCCCACCCACACAGACGGCGCCGAGGGCGGGTGACGTCACTGGCGATGGACGGCGCGCTTTCCTGACGTGACCCGCGTTACAGGAAAGATGGCGCTGCTGGTGAAGAAAGTGTGTTCTGTGCGACCGTGGCTGCCAGTGGTCCAGACTTGGGATCTCAACGCGCGGCGCTGGGTCCGGGCACTGCGGCGGAGCCCCTTGAAAGTGGTGTTTCCATCCGGAGAGGTGGTGGAGCGGAATCGCTCCCCTCGGAAGCAGCCCCGCGAGGGGGCGTCTGAGGCGGCGCATCCCCAGGTTCAGCGACCGAAACAGCCGCTTCAGATGTCCCCATCCCATACGCCGAGTACCTGGGAAGAGGCAGGACTTCGCTACGATAAAGCTTTTCCTGGGGACAGGAGGCTGAGGTGATGTGTTTCTGACACTTGTCGTCTACTCCGGTGTTTGTTTTTGCTGCACAGTGGAATCTTAACCTCCTCGTCCCGGAGGAGTTCTTCCAGAACAACCCTCTGGTTTTATTATTTTTATTTTTGCATTATGCAGAATAAGTGTCTCCTTTGGAATTCGTTTTTGCCTCTGCGAAGCTCTTTATGTCTGTTAGAAATTAGGTGTGTCTCAGTATAAGAATGTTGGTCATCAGCCATCTTTTTGTTTCTACTTACAGCAGTGTAATGACAATAGTTAAGTCCAGGCCGTTTCGGGACAAACAAGGGAAGATACTACTGGAAGGTCGCAGGCTGATTGCAGACGCTCTGAAGGCTGGAGCTGTGCCAAAAGTTTTCTTCTTTAGCCGCCTGGAATACATAAAGGAGTTGCCAGTTGATAAGTTGAAAGGTGTAAGCCTCATTAAGGTGAAATTTGAGGATATCAAGGATTGGTCCGACCTAGTAGCACCACAAGGAATAATTGGTCAGTGGTTACACAGTGTGTCACTAGGTGTGAATTTCTTGTTCATACTTGTCTTAGGGCAGCAGATTTTATTTAAATCAAATTTAAAATGTTACTATCTAATCTCTTCTTGGAGGCTTTGTACCTATGATGCCTTTGCAAAGAATTCTAAATTTTTCATTGTATTATCTTTCAGGGAAGTAACTCATTTATTGGAACAATTATATATAGCAAGATGCTTATGATATTTAAAAAAACTGTACAGTCCTTTGGGAGCATGCTTACAAAGAATATTGAATCTTTATTTGATATTAGTTTATATATAAAGAGCTTAGAAGTTTTGGGGACTGGGAATTGAGCCCAGAGGAACTTTACCACTGAGCTTCATCTGAAGCCCTTTTTATTATTATTATTATTTTTTTTTTTATTTTGAGACAGGGTCTTCCTTGTTAAGGTGCAGAGGTTACCAAGGTTGGTCTTGAATTTGTGATCTTCCTGCCTTAATCTCTTCAGTAGCTGGGATAACACGTGTTGCACCACTGCACCCTGCTAGGATTTTTGTTTTTCCAGGTATAAACAGGTGTTTTATGTGCTTCAAATGTGAATAATCTAGAATAGGCTGTGTGGAGGACAGTTTGGTATCACTTGTTAACAGTAAGAGTGTATTTATACCAATTGTCCTTTTCACTTATGGGTGTTTATTTTCAGACACATACACATAGAGTCATACAGGGACATTCATTATAGCATTGTTTGTAAATAAGGAAAATTTGAAATAATTTAACTGTCAGTGGAAGAGCTAAATGAGCTGTTGTATATCCTTATTACAAAATAACATGCAAGCCAGGCGTGGTGGCACATGCCTATAATCCCAGCGGGAGGATTGTGAGTTCAAAGCCAGTCTCAGCAATGGTGAGGGGCTAAGCAGCTCAGTGAGACCCTGTCTCTAAATAAAATACAAAATAGGGCTGGGGATGTGGCTCAGTGGTCGAGTACCCCTGATTTCAATCCCTGGTACCAAAAAAAAAAAGTAAAAAATAACATGCAAGACAAGAATAAGGTAGCTTTAAATATACATGGTCATTTCTTTAAGACATGTTATTGAGTGAAATAAGTTAATTGCAAAATAATACATTGAGAGTTTTTATATGTTGATTAAAAGCACCTATATATGGACAGATGTCCCTGTATTTAGGTAGATGCATAAATGTTTTGAAAGCATACACTACAAGATTGAAAACAGATGGGGCAGGCAGGGGATCAGCACTGGTAGAATTTTATGTTGTTTTATGTTTTTAGTCAGAATGTATTCACATATTTCCTATGTCTTTAAAAAGACATAAAGAATAAGTAAATGGAAAATCAAATTATTTCCCACATCAAATAAGTGAACGTCCTTGTTGTTTCCTCAGGGATTTTTGCCAAACCTGACCATGTCAAAATGACATATCCAGAGACTCAGCTTCAGCATTCCCTGCCCTTATTTTTGATTTGTGACAATCTCCGTGACCCTGGGAACCTGGGGACAATTCTGAGATCTGCTGCTGGGGCAGGCTGCAGCAAAGTATTACTAACTAAAGGTAAGAGCACCTGTTACTAGGTGTCTTGCTTGGTTGGGACTCTGGGCAGACATGCACAGGTCTGAATCTTGGATCTGCACCTTACTAGATGTGTGTCCATGAGCAATATGCTAAGGGTCAGTTCCCTCATCTCTGAAGTGAGAATAGTAACAGAATCTTACTCATAGGGTTGTTCTGAGGAGTACTTGAGATGATACAAATAAAGTACTTCGCTCCATGCCTGGCATGATAAATAAGTCAGTAAATGTTGATTTTCTTTTAAAGTTATTTGAAACCTGTTAGGTTATTAAAGAAAAAAATTTTAATCAGGGCAAAAAATTTTAACATTTGGTTTCAGGTCTTGTATTTAATGATTTTGAGTGGGTATAAATTAAATTAAATTTTGAATTCTGTGAAAAGAATGTGTCAATGGTGTGATTATGCCTTTGTAATTCATTTCCCGCAGCCTCAGGTGGGTCACACAGTCCGTCCACATGCTAATTAACCTTATTACATTCCTATCTCTTTTAATCAGAAATGGGGATTAATAGGTTTGGTTCTAAACAGACCTGCCAAACTCATGGGATGTGCCCAAAAGACCTGTTCCACCTTGGGAGCGGAGGAGAGGGAAAGCATCATTCATCAGAAACACTCAAGCTACCATTAAATACACTAATAGTGGCAGCCATTGCTGAGACTTGCCTAAATTGTTTGTTCCAACTCTTCCCAGTCACACCCTGTTGGAGTACATTTCTCTGCTGGTATGAGAGCTAGGTGCTGTGATTCCTTTATGAGTAGCCACCTACTCCATTGTTGAGCGCTGTGATAGGAGAGGTGGTTTTGGAAATGTGTTTATATAATCCAAGCAGTGTGGTTTTTCATATCGATAGTGGTGGCTGGTCTGAAAGAGGTAGAGAAAGAAAGAGTAGGAAATACTTGGTATGGTGCCCAGTGTCAAGGACATGAGGAGAAGGGGGAAAGTCTCACCTTTTCCTTACTCCCCGCTAGGTGAGGGGGTCAGACTAGATAGCTCCTCATAGGTATGAGCCCATCCTCTAGATCCTTTCCCTCACCTCTTCACCTGTAGCCCAGCTCCCATCTCTGGTCCCTGACATGCATGGGAAAGCCCATAGGTGGGGTATGTGTGGGCACTCTCATGTTCTCAGTTTCTTTTATAGTCCTTTTAAAATGCTGTCTGCCTAGTTAATCTGTCCTAAATCTGACAAATTGACTTTTAAAATAACTTCTCATGAGGAGACTTGTGCTAACAAGTTAGGGTAGCAATATGTGTGATATAGTCATGAGGAGGTACCCTGGTTGTGCCATCTCTTCCCCCTTGCCTGTGGTGAGTAGACACTGGGAAAGATCAAGTATCTGCTGTGCATGGGAGTGGTTGGGCCTAGCACTTAACTATATGTAGAAGAGTAGGTTTGCTAACCTTACCATAATATGACAGAAGAGGTGTATGTGAGTGACAGAACTGCCACCTGGGTTCAGGTTCATTTCCCCCTGAATTGCTGCATCGACCTCCTACCTAATTTCCTCATCTCTAGTGTGGGAAATCTGTTCCAATCCAAATTGAACATTGAAGTCAAATGAGTCTGTCTGAATCATAAATCAGGTTCTGTCACTGTTTTGCTGAAAATCCTTCAGTACCTCATACTGTCTTCTGAAAAAAATCCAAACTCTTCAGCTTCACATCCTTGGCCTTCTGTACACTGGCCACTGCCTGCCTCCTCTCTCTTCTCCCACCCTCCACCCCCACCATCAACTCCAGTTCTTAGACATTCTCCCCTTCTCTGACTTTGTTCTCTACCTGGGCCTTTCTCTTACAACATCCTCTTATCCTTCAAGACCCAGCTCAGTGTCATGGTCTCTTAGACATTTGGTGTTTTTCCTGAAAGCCTGCTTTATATCAGGGTTTTCTCTTATCCTGTTTATGCTTCTTTTACATTGTCATTAATATTCTAATTACCTGATTAGATATTGTCCCAGCACCACCAACCACTGTACCCCGAGTTCCGGGATATTGGGTGTTTTAATTCCCTTTGCATCCCCTGGTCAGTGCATGTATGTATGAACAGTGTCAAAGGGATGCATAGAATCCCTCTTCAGCACTAGCAGGGATTAATCCTGCAGTCCCTTTGCTGGACACTGCCGTCATTGGGAAGGCTCTGGAAGGTACCAACTACCAAGAAGGCTCCACTGGGAAACACTTTTGCTTTATTTTCTGGTCCAGAATTAATCTGATTTACTCCAGAGCTCCCACTCTGAGACTTATGAAATCTTGATTAAATCTTTTTTGTTTTCTAGGCTGTGTGGATGCCTGGGAACCCAAAGTGCTACGGGCAGGCATGGGGGCACATTTTCAGGTGCCTATTATCAACAATCTGGAATGGGAAACAGTACCCAACTACTTGCCCCCTGACATCCGGGTCCATGTAGCAGACAACTGTGGCCTCTATGCTCAGGCCCAGATGTCTACTAAAGCCAGTGATCATGGCTGGGTGAGTGATCGACGATTTCTGAAATTTCACAAGTTCCAGGAAGAGGATATAGAAACTGGAGACAGTAAAGACTGGCTCCCTGAAAT